GTTGGACTGTTATCCGTAGGTTTGTCGTAATCCGCATGGCGCGTTTCAACTCAATCTATTTTTGGCATATTCCACAACATGCGCGGGACGTTCTTTCGAAACTATTTTTACAAAAACAAAAAGACGAAAATATCAACATGAGAACATATCTCAATTATAATCCAAACTCGAATTCATTTAACCTAGAGCAAAATATGAACAAGAGAAAGATGTGCACGGAGATTCCTTGAAAAGTACAAGGAAAAAGGGCTAGGCGTTTCAGAAGAGTGTCTTTTAGTTTAGCGACGACATGTAAATCTTTGTCAATCCAAGTAATTGAAAAATAGGAACAAAATATGGGAAAAGAACAAAATGCCGATTTTTTTAAAAATGCAAATAAGAAAAACAAAAATGAAACAATCAATAGGTGATTTGAAAATTTACGATATTTCAGATAGTAATAAGAATTCTTATATAGAATAAGATATAGTCATCTCAGAGAAAAAGCGGTTTTACATGAAAAATGTTAATTTTAAACGTAACAGAGCTTGCGACCGTTTGTTAAATGAATTATTTCTAGCATGTACAGATAATCTGACTACTTGTTTAAAAGGCCTTTCAACAGAATTTTCAGCTCTTGGTTTTTTCAGGACAGATGACCATTTATTCCACTATATAAGAATGGCAACGTAAATATATAGCTGGTGATTACAGGGGTATTACATTGATTGTCTTGGTGAAATATAAACAGCTATTCTCAATGTGAGGTTGATTAAAACTTAAATTACTTTAGACTTCAATGTTAATTTATTGACAAAAAACTTTCAACTTTATAGGCAGTAAATCTCCCTAGTATAAAATGATTTAGGAAAAGGTCACATGGGAAATTGTTGAAGATTGTAAAAGGTTTGTATGGCAATAACAATATGAGATGTGTCATATGCAAAGATATCACTGATTTCTTCAACGGTGGATAGTTTCAATAGTACCTTCCCTTCTGTTAATCTTATTTGCTTTTATAAAAATCATTGTTCAATCACAGCAAACGAAACTATCAACCTTTTCTAACTTATGTAAGCAGAATGACATTATTCTATCTGAAACAGGAAAGGATTTCCATAAAATGTTAGATTCATTTAAATAGTATTGTAGAAATGCAATTGGGAATACAACAAAAATTGTCATATTAACGGTAGTTTAATACGTACGCGGAGACGAGAGGTGGTTCTATGATAACTTGATTAGCTTTAACATGAAATTTCAATGTGAATTTTACAAAAAATAACACAAAAGAAACATGTAGAGTAATAGCATAAAGAATTACTTGCTGTAACAAATGTTTGTTGAAAGTACTTTTAATACAAAATGGTTTTGAAATCTGGAGTTATTACAAAGCTCCAAATATTGAAAAACTTAAAATTGCATTTTTTGTGTCCTACGTGCGACATAGAAAATCAACTCATTTTTTGTTTTACTTTTAGATATAACAAGAAAAGAGAGAATTTTCAAATATGTAATTAAGCCCCCTAAAATCTGATCATTTTGTACCCAAAGCGTGTTTTGGATTGGTGGTGGAAAATTAAGACCTTATCATTTTTTATTTAAACATGACCTTTCATCTGTCGGTGTTGGTAAAAGTTAATTCCACATATATATCAACATCTCTTTGAAAATATTGAACTGCATATTCACTAACATAAATAGGCAATTTTGCCTGACAAACATGTTTCTAAGATCCGATTATCTACGCATAATTTAGAAACTGAACGTGGACGATAGACAGATGTACCAAGGTAAGAAAGACAGAGCATTTTATGCAATGAAAACAAGAGAGAAGATAAATATTGTTTTACTGTTAAATGTAAATATTATGTATTCGTATCAGTTAAATTAGCCTTATTATGTTAATAATCAAGGTATATTTAAAACTTATTAAATCCTCTTGGAGATAAGAAAGACCTTAATAACTTCCGAAAGTATTTAACAAGTAGTTTAAGAGAGTATTAACATTGGCAAGTAAACGTAGGGAGAATGTATTGTCACATCTTGATTACACCATATATGTATGTAATCTTTCCCCTTCACTCTGCCTAAGGGCATCAAAAAGAAAATATATATAGGATTTGTTTACATCAGGGTATTATGATTACCTTGTATCTTGCTCATTATAACGTATAAAGTCTTATCATTCATCAAGATGATGGTAGCGTGATACGATGTAGCGTGTATGATGTCACGATTGTCTTTGTCGTTTTGTCCTGAACTTTCAAAATAAAATAAACTACATTAAATCTTGATTTTTTTTAAAATGTTATCGACATGCGTACTAAAGCGTATAATTTATTTCTACAGTTGGCCGATACCAGTAAGAGTCTGTATAAAAGCTTAGAATTAATTTCTGAATTAATTGTTCGTTAGGAAATCAAAATATATCTTAAAACTACGAATATATATCTGAATCAAGTTTTCGGTAGGAAATCAAAATATGTCTTACAGCTTAAAATTTATTTGTGAATGGATTATTCGATAGGAATTAGAATATATCTTATAGTTAAGAATTTATATCTGAATTAAGTATTCGGAAGGAAATTGAAGACTCTCTTAAAGCTAGGAATTTATTTTTGGAAACGAATGAGAATATATATGAATCTTATTCCTTAGTTCTAGAGAAAGTCGAAATATGTAATAATGTATATGACCGACGCTTAAAATCTATTCATGGAGTAGACCGAGAAACGTCGGAGTATGTAGTAATGCTAAGGTATAATCTATTTTTGAAGCAGGTGAAGAAGAGTCAGAATCTGTTTTCTTCATTTTTTAAGCAGGTCGAATGGATGCAGAATCTATGATACGTTTTTGTTGAAAGGCAGAGGAATCAGTACAACCCAAATCTTCTAAACGACTATAAAACCATTTGTAAAAAAATTACGAGCAAGGAATGACACTAATCCCATTTTATGTAATAATTCAACTGTGAAAATACAAAACAAACAAAAACAAGTTGGTAAATAAACCCACAAATGTAATTCTGATAAAGGATTTACTATACAGGACAAATTGGGCGACCTTGGTTTAAAACTTGGTTGTTACCTTGTATTTTGCAAAGTCAACCTGGCACAGACTATAACACAACTCTAGATACACGAGAAGAAATTTATTCGAAGAATATCATTCTAGGCTGTCAAGGTTACCGTTATTGATAAAGTGAAACGAAGGAAAGATAACTCTTGCAAATAGGAATGTAGAAACTCTGTATCTATCCGATTTGACAACTTTTGTTATTTTCCTTTGGACACTGATAATAAATCTATTTGTTTCAATGATACCGCATTGATTTTATTTCAAGAGGAATGTGCCTTATCTGTATAATTCTGATGTGTACCTGCCGGGCAGTTATACTTAAGTAATATTCCAGAGAAGTTTCCTTTGTTGTATGGTCTTCACAATGCTCACAATAAGAGGACATCTACCACCAGATCTGTAGTTTTTATATTCTGATACGGAGGCAAGCATCATTTCGTCTTTTTTGTTTTTGTTTTTGTTTTTTTTTTTAAAGATAATTTGCATTTACGTTATGGATAGATAATTTGATTGCGTCGACAAGCTTATTAACATAACATAAAAAGAATATGAAAGTTTATAACGAAATGTGGACATTTATAAAAATTTCCAAATCTGTACTCCAGCGCCTGACGCATATCAGTTTGTCAATGCAGTAATGAATTCAAAGTGTTCCGTTAAAAGTTAAGATTCTTTTATGTGTATTTATGATTGAATGTATTAATGCATGAGATCCCATGGCTCGGATGACATGGAAATAGTGAAGAGTGTGTCAAAGTTTGTGGGAGGTTAAGGGGAAGTAACTCGCACAAAATATAGTTTGCCTTAGGCAAACAATGCGTCAACGCCATACTTGCCGATCTGCAGGCAAGACATCTAAAAACTGGGGTCTAACGCAGTTAGAAGAACAAGTATTCTAATGTTATCGTTTTCTGAAGTTGAAATTTAAATAACCAATATGCTCACGCACAACGGGATTCTTTTTTATTTTAGACAAACAATTGGAAAAAAAGTATATAATATAATACCGTCATTGATTATGACCTTTTCGACTGGCTGTTATTTTTGTTGGGTGGGGGTTTGGTAGGAGGGTACGTGAGTACATGTTTGTTTATCCTTAACATTATCACAATACCATTCATTCTATTGGATTTGCCACCAGTGCATAATCTTTCAGTCAAAAATGTGCAACTATGGTCGATATTCTAATCGTTCTAAAGTTGAAATACGTGTACTTGTCTATAATGCATCAGTCTTACAATCATTGAAACTGTGGGTTGGTGACAAGCATGTTCAGAAATCCGATAGAATCTATGAGCATATAGATAACAATATATGCTTCTACAGAGTAGAAACTGGGAGGGGAATTAATGTAGATTTTCAAAAAATCCCAGGAGCCGTTCACCAACCTTCAACATCCAAGTGAAACATTTCTTCTGTAATAAAAATATGGTGTTTCTTCATACTATGCTCTCCTTCACATCGTTTCAAATCAATGTTCTTTACAAAGGTGAAGGTTAGTACTAGTATAAATAAATGGTAGTTGCAGTCATTCCAAAGATGAAGAAACACGGCTTCGTTGTTGTTGTTTCCTTTTAAACCAACCAACTGTACATCTTGATAAAACGGATATCGGTCTCAAAAAGACACTACCCACGATCTGAGACATGCATGTTATAGAATACATTTACAGCAGCAAACTCATGCGAACAGAGATTACGTCGCTGAAACCTGAATATTACTTGTGTGCAACCTTAATATTCGATTCACTACGAGATTTTTTTATCCCTGCGCAAAAATATAGTTCCTTATACTCTTCTCATAAATGATTCTATGATAGAGTACTAATACATTTTCATGGTATTTTGAAATCATATTATAAATGATGATTGCTTAATAGTTGCTCAAAATTACAGATAAGCATGTAACATCGATACGGAAATGGTAGGTATTTCTACGCAGTGGTTTCCTGCACTTTAACAGGTCACCACCGAAACAACAGACATGACGAAGCTACTGAAGTTGTCATACAACGCGGTATTCTCGAGGGCTTCAACGTTTGCAGCCGTAACATGCCTTGCTGCAGTTGTATTCGAAACCTTCTGGAACAACGCGGCTAACAAACTGTTTGACCGCATAAACAAGGGGGTAAGTAACTGGGATGACATGACCCTCATTGCCCTTCACAGACCCACGTACCGGCATTATAACTACCGTTACGGAACAGGCTATCGTAGCTCATGATCAACATCAGATGTCGTGTTTACATGATTTTACGCCGTTGAAGTAACAAATTGACCCACTGCATATTAACTGAGCAAACTCTTACGTGTATGGTTTGAACTGGAAGATGTCCGTGCTGAAATAAAGCACATGTAGGTGTATCTGGAATAAAAACAACCCATGGAAAACCCAGTCCATTGCCCTATACAGTATACATCAGACAAGAACATAAGAAAGAGAACCGACAAAGTTATATTTTTTTTAATAGTTGTGATTGCAAACACAACATCACTTAAACATTTTGTAATAAAACAGGCTGTGACTGAAGTGATCTCCCTTTCTTTGATAGATGTAGACTTACCTGGCATATAGAGAGGCCCCCAGCAAACCGCTTCTTAATTCTGACAAATATTTGTTTTGTCTGTTCATATCGACTTCGTAATAAGGCATAAAATGCACAGATGTCGCATAACAGGAAGCGAATGTGTGAGATTTACTGCTAAATTAGCTTGAATCATATATATATAAAATACAAGGAAATGAAATTCCTGAGGAGCTTTCTGCAAAAATCTGAGGGAAAACACAATCTATTGTTCGAAGGTCACTGTTGCATTTGACAAGACTCATGTTGAAGGTGATTCATGTTTACTTTAAGATATATTAGAAAATCAAAAAACAAAATATCTTAAGAGCTTATCTGTAAAAATATGTGACATCACACAACAGAGCTCGGAAAAGTTAAAAATCAAATTCACTGCTTGATATTGTCGCACTTGATAGACCATCAAATATATTGAAGTCTTTTTATTCAATCAAAATTCAGATCAAATAACGTCATAAATTCTGAAGCATCCAAAACAAATCAGACAAAAGCGTTCTTTTTTTCGCAATCTCAAAGATAAATTCCATCACATTAAGGATCCTGCTTACAAAACCCTAGTTTGTCCAAAATTTATGGTACAATAGTCTTCTCCAGTCTGGGACTCCAACTGAACACCTGCCAAATCAACCAGATAGAATAATTCAAACATCAAGCTGCCAAATTTTTGTACAACAATCACAACACCAACTCCATCAAGGAGCTGATAGGCACAGCCTTAATTATTTCTCTGCAGACTTTGATTTAGAACTAAAATTACATTCTACTCGATAAAAAAGAACCTCATTGCATCATACATTCACTACCCAGAAAATCTTATTCTGGTCAATTCCCACACTCCATAAATCCACCATAATTCATATAGCTTTAAACATTTTAAAAATCCAGAGACTGCATAAGGACTCTTTTTACCCCAGAACTATCACACAATAGAAATGGCACCTTAAGCCTTTAACTTCTGCTGACACAGTTTACACCTTCAATTCCACTGACACAGTATCCTTTCTCTCACAAACTCTAACCACCTGGGAGGTTTTTTTTTATCTTTCATAACATGTAAAAGAAAAACGAGTAATGTTCATGTTGCTAAATCATGAACATTGAAGCCACACTCATTCACAGAGAAATACAGGTACAAATCAAGTTGTGTCAGCCAATACCAAGGATATAAGGTATGGTTGGGCGAAAGTGTCTCAGTACTTGGGCATGATCATTAATGCACTTACAGTATAACAGTCGTAATGTGTGCAATTAAGAGTCAGATTCAGACCCCTTCCCCAAGAACACACTGACAAGAGGTGATGTTTTATTTGGTTAGTTGTCTCCCCTCCAATGGACCACTAGCTTGTCAAATTTGTGAAATGTGTAGGTTCATTTTTGTTTCAGCACTAAATACCAGAGTTCATTGTCATAATAAAACAATCATTTGGATATCTATATCCTGTCCCTTTCAAGTATCAAATAAGATAGATTGTGAATATGTCTATGATATTGGCTATCAATAAAAAGAAATTTACAAATACTTAAAATTACTGCATTTTTTTGTTATTTTTCCTCTTTTATTCTCTCTTTTTTGTACATATGATATCGATGTGGGTAAGGTTCCATATAGGTGTTCTGCAAAATAAATACTAGGTAACATAACACTCATTGAAGAAGTCTGTTTTCTTTTAAACTCTTAAATGATTAACTCCAAACCGTATTTGTGTATCCCAGTCCCTAAAGCTAAGAAGATGTTTTTAGTTTAAGACTACATTGGGAAGGAATTTTCTATTTAAGATACTACAGTATTTTGATAAGTTATCATTGTAAAGAAGGTTAGACTAGGTGTTTTGTTTATTTTTAAAATGTTTCATGTGATTTAAAATTAGTAAAACAGCTTTGTGCTAATACTTGTTTCCTCTTTTCTCTTTCACAGAGACAATGGAAGGATATCAAACATTTATACAAGGATGATTAATCAACACATTTACATAGATAATTTGATGGAGTGAAAGTTGTGGTGTGTGATTGACAAATGAACCAACAAGCTGTGCCAACATCTGCACATCAAAGGAAGAAGAGTTATGGAACAAACATTTCTGACGTATAGTTCCAACTGTAACATCAACCATACCCAGAGAATTACCCTATATTTCTTGGCTGCAACCACAAAAAAACTTCACAAAGAGAATTCATGGATAAATTATTGGAACTCTTCAGAAGAAAGCTTGAAAAATGATTTATACTACATCAGTACTTTCTGAAACTAGACCTGTTTCAAAATATGAAATTTTACAGAGAGTGTTTTGATTTCTCTGAATACATCACAAGAACGATTTTCTTTGTTCACATACTACTAGATCTTGGTGAGTGATATATAAAGACACTAAATGTTTTAAATTAAAATATATTAAAAACTGTTCATTCTTTTAGTGTATTTGAATATTTGTGTAAAATGATGCAGGGTTGAGCCACAGATTATGCACCATCTGCTTTATAAATGTATCTGTTATTTACACCTTTACATATATTCTGTCGGTACCTTGTATAATCATAGAACTAGAAAACGGGTTTCCATTGGTAATGAAATACTGGATGATTCGATGGAATAGTAGCAGCACACATGTTTACATCAAGGCCACTTGATTTTTTGTTTGGACAGGAGTAGGTAGGAAGTCGCCTACAATACGACTTTTCTTTAGGTACTCTTCCAACAGTAAGACCAAGGCAACAAATTATCGTATTCATGTGCTTCAATCAGGTCAACAGAATGATAAATAAGAGTTGATATCTCCTTCAGCAATTACATACACCTTCCTGCAGTCTTGACATCTAGGTACTCAATCTCTATCAGAGTTGTCATTCCTGAACTGTCTACGTACTCTCAGCCAACCAGCATCGCCTCGACAACAGTTAGGCAACAAGCACTTGTTTATTTACAGAGAAACCTTGGCTATTAATTGATGAAATATAGACTGATATGTCTTGATAATCGATAGTAGGCACAGGAACTGTATTTCATCTTATTTTATGTCGTCATTACGTAGAATAATATAGCAGTGGACAGGATACGTGTGGTCTATAGAACAGCTGGCCACCATTTTGCTAACAGTCTTGTGTATGTGGTTTGACGAACAGACAGCACTGCCGTGTGTGTAACTGTTATGTAGGCTAATCCTTTCTGATTCTTCAGTGATGAAAGACAGATGATAGGAAGTCGAAGTCGAACCGACAGGTCTATCGCAGCTCGTCCTAAAACAAGGGAATAAGACTTTTGGGAATGACAAACAATGCTCATGGCAACCCAAAAGCTTCTTTAGGTCTATCCATTTGTAAATTCACCAATTCATTGCACTTTTGCATATTGGTTACACTGATCTGTTACACATTAAAGTTTCTTAAGCTTGTAAAATACACCCAAGTCTGTTCATGTGAACATTTCAAATTCTAAAACAAATGATGTATCAGTAAACTGGCAACCAACTGCCAAGAATGAGTTTCTACAATCATGTACATTAATTATCAGACAAGTAAAATTATTGTTATTATATTACAGATAAGAATGACTACTACAAGATAAACACAGACAAATAGAAATCATTAAATAAATTTGAATAAAAAAGGTGAGTTTTCTGCTGTTGAAATCATATAAATCAAGTTTGACAATCTTGGACTTCAGTCCCTAAAACTCTGCCTGTTTTAAATGTATTAAAAGAGATGGACCTTGATAACTTCTCTAAATACTGAACAACTTTAACTCTTGTTACTTATCTTTTAAAAATGGTGTGTTACACGAGATGTTTATAGTACTGATATAACACCAGGTACTTCTATAGAGTTTCTATATATTATCCCCAAAGTGTAGGTTGTTATTGAGCAATAAGAAACAGAAAGTTGTCATTTTAAAGGGCATTTTAGAATGTTTCTCACTTCTTGAATGAAATAATCTTCCACACGTTGGGTGTATAAACTGATGTAACCAAACATCAGAAAAGCCTGTTTTACATAATTCCTGTTTCACTTGGTGAACAAAATTAAGTTTACAATTAGTTTTATTTGAATTTGACCAGCTCCTCTAACAAGATCTCAAAATTCGATGAAAAGTACTCAGAACTTTAACCAGTAACTTATAATTGATATTTTACATGTTATTTGTAAAGGAAATTGTCCTAATTCCAAGTAAACCATAGTATTATTTATAGACTTGAACTCAAAGAACTTTCTTTAAAAGTACAAATGTACTTTATCAGTTTAGGTTGTAGGACTGGATCCCCAGATTTCACAAGCATAGTTAAGCAAACAAGTAATGTAAGTGTAGAATAATGACAACTTTGTTTCACTGTTTAACATAAAATTTCTTAATTTGCTGTCAAGAAAAAACAAGCCTTTCTGCCTTTGACCGCAATGTTATCTAATACTAAGGTAAAAAGACCATTATAGTAGAACACTAGACTAAGCTAGCAAAAGTTGTCCACAATTTCAATAGGCCTACCATTATATGTCCATTGCTCATTAGGAAAGACACATTTATCTTTCCTAAATATTATTCCTTCAGTTTTACCTACATTTACATTTGAATTCTAACGTTCAGCGTACAAAAACAAGTGATCAAACCTATTTTACAGATCGCTTTCGTCTTCAGAAAACAAGACCGTGTCGTCCGTATACAAAATTATAAAAAGGTTTAGCAACAGTAATTTGTAACTCTGACAATTTGAATTGATAAGTTCGGACTCCATATCATTGATAGACAATGAAAATAAAATCGGAGATTCCCCTTGTAATAATCCGGAGGTCGTATATGGGAGATAAAGTACCATTTAATTTTACACAAGATTTAACATTATCATATATAGATCTAATTACATTTAGCAGTTGACCTCTAATGCCTGACTTCCATAGTTTAAAACATAATTCATCATACAATATGCTGTCGAAAGCCTTTTGGTAGTCGACACAAACACAATACAGTCGTTTATTACTACTTTGTATAGTTTTAGTAATTAAGGTATTTAGAACAAAAATTGCTTCCTGTGTATTACTTCCGGGTCGCAAACCAAATTGAGCGTCAGAAATGATATTTTCTTTTTCGCTCCATGACAATAAACGTCTATTGAGGACGGACGTGAAAAGCTTTGCTAAGTGACTAATGATGGTAATATCTCTATGATTGTTAACATTGTCTTTGTCTCCTTTTTAATGAGTAGGTACCATAACACCTTAAGCCCAACACTTGGTGAAATATCCAACACTCAAAATGGCGTGAAATAGTTTTAACCATACAGGAATAAAAAGATCGCTATATTCAATGAGATACTCGTTTAACAACTATACCAGTTGACTTCCCTTGGATAGACTTTTTATAGCTGTAGATAACTCCTGGGTACTGAACTCATCGTCCAGTTCAGGGTGAAGACATTCATTATCTACAAACTCCTCCGAGCAAAATGATGTATCAGCTGGAGTATCAGCCAAAATAACTGGAAAAAATCATCAAGTGATAAGTCACTTGTATTTACAGGTTTACTCTTAGAACAATTATGGTAGAAAGATTTTGGATCATTACGTCTTAAAGTGTCCATATATTACCTTCTATTTGGAGATACTAACGCTTCGTTTTATATTCATACAATTTATAGCACTTTTTGGATACAGTCAAATATTCTCTATTACAAACATTTTCATTTGTTAAACTCAAACATTGCATACTCATACATTTCTTATAAACACTTACATTCGACGTTGAACCAAGATTTGTCTGGGGTTTTAATAACACGACGACGTAATTCATGACAAGAGCACTGACAGCTTGGAACTACCTTTTCCCTACAGTAAAACCGGTCAAACAAGGAATGAACATTGTTAATCAGACCTTCATGGCAGTTATGTATACTTTTACTAGAATCGCATAGTTCGTTTACAGAATCATTGAGCAGATAGCTGTTTTCAGTTACATATTCAGAAGACATCTCCTTGGTATCTCTACACCAAGAAACAGTTTCATAAGAGTTAACCAAGGTTCGAATCGTTGCAGACTGCACTATAATCTTATGTCCGTAAATGTCGAAAAATAGTGTGACGAGATGGTAAACACATTTTTTATACAAAAACAAAACACCAGAGTGTCATAGATGTATAATAAATAGAGACGAGGGGAGCTACGGACTCGTACATATATGATCAAGTGTTAAACAAAGCGTAGCCGAATTGACTACAGGACATTGTTACCATCTGATGTATTTTTGGTCTATAATCTGTTTACCATCTCGTCACACTATTTTCAACCTTAGTATACATAGAATTATAATGCAGATGAAATAGTTGGTCGATTCCGTATCATCTCGTGCACTACGTACGTCAGTGCTAGTACGCTCCACACTGGTCATCTGTCTGATGAAGGTGACCGTGTAGATCTCGTACAATACGTACGTCAGTGCTAGTACGCTCCGCCCTGGTCATTTGTCTGATGAAGGTGACCGTGTAGATCTCGGACACTACGTACGTCAGTGGTAGTACGCTCCACACTGGTCATTTGTCTGATGACGATGACTGTAGATCTCGTACACTACGTACGTCAGTGCTAGTACGCTCCACACTGGTCATTTGTCTGATGAAGGTGACCGTGTAGATCTCGTACACTACGTACGTCAGTGCTAGTACGCTCCACACTGGTCATTTGTCTGATGAAGGTGACCGTGTAGATCTCGTACACTACGTACGTCAGTGGTAGTACGCTCCACACTGGTCATTTGTCTGATGAAGGTGACCGTGTAGATCTCGGACACTACGTACGTCAGTGGTAGTACGCTCCACACTGGTCATCTGTCTGATGATTTGTCGTGAAGTTGGTTTCAAGGTTTTATTCGGTCACTCTGACACACTTACGTGTGTAACAAGAGGTCACATACATATAGTTAACATTATACATTGTGTGTGATAATAAGTACAAAATTACAACATTTTCTGTAAATAATGTATTTTGCATAATTACATAGAGAAGGATTGCAACCAGGCCCAGAAATTAACTCAATGATTTATCAACTTTTTCTATAAATCTACAATTTTTTGTAGGAATTTTTACATTGAATATAACAAACCTAGCATTTTCTTGGATAAGTGAAATAACATTTTGGTGTATATTTCTCTCTTATACATGTTACTGAATCATTTTGACAATTAAATAAATAGTTAGATTCATCTCCAATGTCGGAATTACATAAAGTACAGGTTCTCTCTTGACGAGGAATACCTAACTATCTTCCTGTTTCTACAGGTAAATGCACATTTGAGGATCGAAACTTAATCATTTTCCTATCTTTTGTACTAAGCTTAATCTATTTTTTGTGTTCAAAGTTTGTCTTAAAAGTGGAATATGAATGCTCTATAGATGAGTTAAGAATTTCATCGAACCATTTCTGTATATATTGATCCTTCAGTCTATTTTTCACCAAGGTCTTAATTTCATCTTTAGAAAAGGAACATGTAGATTGATAGTACCCGACATAATTAAGGCCATTAAAATGACATAGTTCCATGTTTTAGTAACGTAAACATTAACTTATAGATAGTGCTTGATTACTTATAAGCGTTAATCAACTTATGCCAGAATACTGTTATTCTACATTTAATCTCAATGTCTAGTGGGTATCTTCCCAGTTAACCATAATTAAAGAAATTATCTATGGTTTTTAGCATATTAAGTATATTTCACAACAAAATTACGCATGATTTTTTTCTGTAATATTTATATTTTCAACCAACCCCCCCCCCCCCCCCCCCCCCCACCCCCCATTTTTCTTATGAGTACAGGAGAACTAGTATGACTACCGAATCATATATTTTCTATTGTAAATCAACTGGTAGTGATATGGTTCTTAATTTCTTATAGACTGCAAAAACTGATTCTGTGCTTGTTTAGCAACCCTTTCTCTTGTTTTAATGAAGCTACAATTAAATAGAATACCTAGATGGGTATACCTTTCAAGTATGTCTAATTCTATGTTTCATAATGTAAAATGTTCTTGTACATTTCCTTTTCAAAGAAAATGACGACTTTAGTTTTTTCTTGAGTTAATTATAACTTTCAAGTATTATAGATTACTGAAAGAATGAGACCAGAGTTTTGCAAGCAATGTCACGTCAAATAAGTTAAAACAGCGATTTTCTAACCCCCTGTCTTCGCTGTTTTTTTTTTTGTTTTTTTTGTGGGGGGTTACACGTACAGCTATATTTGGTGTACGATGATAGCCAATGGTTTGGGTGTTAGGTTCTCTATTTCAATTGAATGATTCGGACTGAGTTGGAGAAACTGTTCTAACTGTTTAACTACTTACAAATTGTCTGATGGACGGGACTTTCAACGGTGACCCGTGTGAGTATGTATACTGTCCATCATGTACGGTAAAGGTCCTTCTATGGTTTTCGAAGAAGAGTAAAAAGTGTGGTAACACCGATCCTGACACACATTTATTATGGACTTGTGATTCATTGGATGAATTCTGACATCAAGAAAAACGGTACCACACCCAAGAGAGAGATGCAGGTCGCCCTCTAACGAGAGCAAACACCACATAAGTTTATATCGATCATAACTTTGTTTCATTATTTTCATAGAATTTAACAACAAAATTTTGATAGCAGGCTCAAAACCACCATGTATATACTGTTACGTCGTCAATCTTTTGTTGGTCGGTAAGACAATGCCTTGCGATATTAAAGTCACGAAGACGCATTCTGCCCGTTTCAACTTCTGAGAAGCCAGTATAACCACAGTATTCCTACCTCTAAGAGTTACCGCCCTTCGTTTCACTCTGTCAGCATGGTATAACGATAATTTAGACAGCCGAGAGGGGCCGAGAATGAACCCTAAGGGCATGTGACAATGTTTTTTTATGGTACGTTATAACTAGTTAAGGGAGCGGAATATCAGAGAGATATTCATCTATACAGAAACCAAACATTGTCATAGGCCCCTTTGAGTATACACGGCCAGGCCAGACCTCGCACATAAATTGAATGATAAACATCATACGTGATAGGCTACGTAATCACGACAATAGGTCTAACTTGTTAGCTGTGACTGACAACTGAGGGCATTAATATAAACTTCGATTAATTAGACAACGAAGATGTGGAGAACTAATCTCAACCGGCCACGTTCGACAGTCTAGCCAATATTTTGCAAAAGTAAGTAAGCAGCCGAAATAGCTCAGTTGGGAGAGCGTTAGACTGAAGATCTAAAGGTCCCTGGTTCGATCCCGGGTTTCGGCAGTAATGCAAATTTTTTTTTCGTTTTCTTTTTTGTGTGTTTTCACTTTTAGTTCTTTTAATCATATTTTGCCAATACCATAAAAAGACAGTGTAATTAAACATAATCGTAATACAATGTTAAACGTCAATCGAGTCGTGAGTGAAAACTTCATACACAAATAAATTGCTAAATTGAGTGGATTCATGAAAGCCCTGAAACAAAGGAATACGTCTTTGATCAGTGAATTTTCGTTTCGGGAAACCGCATCTTGTTTTGACTTCTTTCCAAAAAAAAAATACTTTACGAAAAGAAATCACTGATATAAAAAAATCATTAAGTAAATTGAAATGCCCGCTTTCTCTTTATTGTCACTCATTTATACAACGTGATTGCATTGGATGTCGATACGTGATGATAAAATCAGGCCGTACCGCCTAAAGGTTTTTGAAAAGACAAAACAGCCATTCGGAAACAAAGCTTCATTGTAGGGTATTTTACAGTTTGTATAATGTTATTTATGTTCAACAAACGTGTTACAAATACAGAATCAATAACACAATGAGAAAAGATACGACAGATCTAATTCCGACAAATAGATAGGACAGATCTAATTCCGACAAAAAGATAGGACAGCTCTAATTCCGACAAAAAGATAGGACAGATCTAATTCCGACAAAAAGATAGGACAGATCTAATTCCGACAAAAAGATAGGACAGCTCTAATTCCGACAAAAAGATAGGACAGATCTAATTCTGACAAAAAGATACGACAGATCTAATTCTGACAAAAAGATAGGACAGATCTAATTCCGACAAAAAGATAGGACAGCTCTAATTCCGACAAAAAGATAGGACAGATCTAATTCCGACAAAAAGATAGGACAGCTCTAATTCCGACAAAAAGATAGGACAGCTCTAATTCCGACAAAAAGATAGGACAGATCTAATTCCGACAAAAAGATAGGACAGCTCTAATTCCGACTAAAAGATAGGACAGATCTAATTCTGACAAAAAGATAGGACAGATCTAATTCCGACAAAAAGATAGGACAGCTCTAATTCCGACAAAAAGATAGGACAGACCTAATTCCGACAAAAAGATAGGACAGCTCTAATTCCGACAAAAAGATAGGACAGATCTAATTCCGACAAAAAGATAGGACAGCTCTAATTCCGACAAAAAGATAGGACAGATCTAATTCCGACAAAAAGATAGGACAGATCTAATTCCGACAAAACGCTCCGATAGAAATTTTCTATTTCGAATGTCGCTCCGATAGAACTTGTCTATTTCGAATGTCTCTCCGAGAGAACTTGTCTATTTCGAATATCACTCCGACAGAACTTATCTATTTCGAATATCGCCCCGATAGAACTTATCTATTTCGAATATGGTGCTGACTGTGTGGTAAAATGGTAAGCTTACACTCCAAGCTACACATTAAAACATCGGTCTACGTTACTAAAATTCATAATTAAAATATACATCAATCAACTATTAAACCCTAGTGTTACCGACAACATTTGTGTTTGGACATATACGTGTGCAATTTAAAAGAAAAATGTATTCAATTGAGCGTGATATCGCCACATTGAGTTACCAAACTTTATACCGTACTATTTTTTTTACAATTATAACCAATTGTCACCCTTACCATTAATATATAATTCTAAATTAACCCGACCCTGATAAACTTCCCATTGTACGTGACCATAAAATATCAACTCAACAAAGGGCGATGTTTAGTACCACTGTAGGCAGATAACAGATATAAAGTTGATAGCTTACATTTGAACCGTAAGTTAAAAGTATGGATAACTTGATACTAATTAATATATTCTGTATGTTGTGTTGGAATGTCCCACAAACGTGTATGGTGTGCTTGATCAAACCATAAAATCAGCGTTTTATGATTGTCCACTCATGTTCAAGAGAACGTAAGGCAAAAAATGGTTATTTATATTTATAGACGAAACAACATGACTTTAAAAGTACAACAGACGAAATGTTTGCTCGAGCTTCTATACAAGACATCCGTCAGTACGAAGTCTAGCAACATAATGTTGATGAAAAGTACGAGTATACATTTAAAAAATGCCACTTCCATTATCTATATATATATTCTCCCCACTCTCGTGTAAGCTACGTAAATCAGAGATATACAAGTCGAGTCAATGGAGGTGGTACGCTGACTTCAATGAGGTACTCGGTATTGTGTCTAGTTAAACCATCAAGTTGACAGAACGTCTGGCTATTGTACTAGTTGTGGTATGTAAAGGTATTGTACTGTAAGCCTTATTGTAGTAATAGTTTTATTGTCTTAATGTGCTGACACGCACGGGTGGCGATCTCCACAGTTCAATCTTTAATGCAGTATGGTTGATAAATCATAATAAATAGGTAACTTAACCCTAGTCTTCAAATCGGAATGTTGAAATGTACGCGTGTTGCATTTCAAATCGGCAATAGATTGATGTTCATTAAATATCATCACCTGACCTTAGTGTCAGAACATCGACTTTAAATGTTCCAGGATTTCTCAGGACAGACACACAAACAGGCAGAAGTTGACGGCTGTCGGACTTATTCTTTTGAATTGTGCTGATTCATTCTAGTGTCCTGTGTTAATCTAATCTAGTAATAAGGTGAAATTTTCCTAACAGCTAGACCTGCCCGTTGTAAAATATCGACGTTGGATGGTGAAAATAAGCCGTGCAAGGGACATTGCAATATAAGAGATTTACTTTGAATATCTACTTCCGGGGATATTATAAACGTATATTTCAGGCAATTTTCCACCCGTCCAGTCTGGAATTCAGGATGATACATTTTACAGGTCGATTTATATGATAAACCTGTACAGGAACTTCTACACAGATATATGGCTACAAAATCGAAGGTCCTGCCGACAACAGGAACTACAAATAAGCCTTCATCAGCACACGGAGATTCGTCCTCCTCAGACGATGCCTCAAGCAAACAAAAGCACAAAGCAAAGACTAAAGTAGTATCAGAATACGACATCTCCGGCGATACCATTAGTATCTGTCCTGCTGATGATGGAGGCAGCTGGACGTGTTACGATTGTAGTGGACTCGTCACACAGAGAGACAAACAAGGGGAAGTAGTGAAGGAGATTGAACACGGTACCAACATCCGGGACATTACTGTATCGCCGAAAACGCAGCATCTATGGGCATGCTGCTTAAAGGATAAAACCGTCATAGAATTAACACCAGAAGGCAAATTCAGTGTAGGTTTCAAAACTGATGATCAGCCGTGGTGTTTATGTGCAACACTTGATGGTCATCTTCTTGTCGGAGTGGCAAAGAAAGTCACCAAATACACAACCGAAGGGAAAGTAGTTCTTGTCTCGAAGAAAATCAGAATTCCGGGGAGAAGACAGCTAATCTGTCTCCCGTACAAGATTGCAGAGTGTCGAGCTTCCCATAACATCGCCATAGTGGAACAAGATCAGCCTATAGATGGAGGAAAAGATGAACCACATATCCTCGTGATGAATAAGGACCTTCAGGAGCTGTTCCGATTCCAAGGAAACATTCCGAAGCGTTTTTCACAAGCTGCCAAGAAAAAAATAGAAGCTGGTTCCTTTTTCCCCTTCGATGTAACTTTTGATGCCATAGGTAATGTGATTGTATCTGACTACAATAACTGTAGTATATATCTACTGAGTGGCCGTGGAGAGTTCCTTAACTTACTGTCCTCGAATTCTAAAGTGGTGAGAGCAATCTCCGTGGATAGTGAAAATAATTTGTGGGCAGTGTTTGGTTCATTTGGTTCTCAGAAGGTAAAAATTTTGAAATACAGCACGTGAAATCTGATGTACTGTAACTTTGATAAACAGCACGTGACATCTGATGTACTGTAACTTTGAAATACAGCACGTGACATTTGATGTACTGTAACTTTGAAATACAGCACGTGACATTTGATGTACTGTAACTTTGAAATACAGCACGTGACATCTGATGTACTGTAACTGTCAGGGTAATATTTTAATGTTAAATGTTCACACTAAATCACGACGGTCTTCATATAAACGTACTTCATATCATTTAATTTGATCGGGTTATACACTACACTGTAAATCAGAGGTGATCAATAGATATGTTATAGGTAAACATTTGATAGACAGTTTTATACCAGTGAAATTTTCTGAAGTTTCTTCCGCTCATTTTTATCGCACGATACTGCTCAGCAATTCATGTTTGTATTTTCACACCAAGGTAGACATAAAATCTGTAATATACATAAAATGACAAGTTTTAGAAAGCTCTGTTATCTGAAATAAGCTATAATTAATAAGAAAATTGTCTGATTCGGTCACTCTACATAAGGTGACAAGTTTTAAAAAGATCTGATATCTGAAATAATCTATAACTTACTAATATGAAAATTGCCTGATTCACTCACTCTACATAAGGTGACAAGTTCTAATATCTGAAATATACTATAACCAGTAAGATCAATTTTTAATTCAATCATTTCTGTATGTTTTATCTTTATATTATTAGTATTTAATGATGTACACCAATAACATTTACATATCATTTCAAAATTTGACACTCTAAACATATCACTATAAATAGCTATATGAACAGTATGTGTTACAAATTTTTCTATTCAACAGCTGGTAATCAAATAATATATTTTTCAAATGCTAATTTTACAACATTTTACATTCTATATACATGTACTTTTAACATACACTAACACATCAATTAACATAAAAAAACACCTTCATAAACATGTGTAGATGTAAAGCTGGTATGATTGTAAAAGGCATACCATTAGTCTGTGGCGAAATAAATCTCCACAGCTTCTCTGGAGTTCTGACACATCTGTTCCTAATGTCTGATGTTATATATGTATACCATGTATTAATATACCTAATTGATAAATAAAATAATGTTGTGTGCCCTTAAGATCTGTAATTTCTTTTTATCAATAAATGTAATGTATTTTTTTAATCTCAAGACAATTATAGTATAACCCCAATACCTCATGATGATACTCTCAGTTGGTAATGAGGCTGGACAATTTTCTCTAATAAAACTGGTGTCATCTTTTTGATGATAAAATTTAAAAGAATAAGTAATCTCCTTGTATGATCCATATACTGTTCATCATCAGTCAGATCTCTTCCCATCTCTCCACTTATTAGCTCACATGATAAGATGAGTCAGTGTAAGATATGTCAAAAGTGTTTAAAACATTTAAGAATCTTTCGTTCGAGGTTCAGAAGACACAGAGACTTTATATTATGACATAAGTACATAGGATGGAGCCCTATAAAGTCTCATTTCTATAAAAGAACAATATTATTATGAGTGATCACTATTTACTATATCATGAGCATTAACATTACACTATCATTTACAATGGAAATTGGCACATTGAGAAAGATAATAGATATACATGGTATTTAAGCATTACTGCCTTAATATCAATGGGTTTGATCAGTCTCAAAACTGAACGGCATCACTTGGTACCAGTACTTCTCAAGACATAGTGAAAACAAACATTTACTGTCAGCATCAAAATCTGCAGTACGAGCAACCGAGGAGAGCTTTACGTAATCTTCAACTGATCTAACAACTACTTTTCAAAATATAGAGAAAACAGACCTGCATTGTCGAAGTCAAACAGGACCACTTTTCAGACATTTTGTTTCTCTAATCAGTCCAAAATAGATAAAGCAACACTCAGATCCAACAGTATATTCATATGAAATATGAAAAAGATCCATTAAACACAGCCCAAGATGATAATAACAGAAACTCCTTGAGTATGGATGGACGACGGATCACATACCATGGAAACAATGATTTTAGCAGTCCAACATCTTACAAGAGTGGACTACAAAGGTTTCATTGCAAAAGATATCATTGTAATGTGAATGTAAGGGGAACGACTCTTACACATATTATTGGGTAGATATTACAGACAGACAAAGCTGTCACACATAAATTGGCATAAACAGGGTAGCCAATGCCTGGATATTGTTAACATTTGAGATCTCCAGTTGGTGTTTCAAGGTGATTTAGTGTGGTGACGATTTATTAACGTTAATTGTTTTCATGCTCTCATTTTCAATGAGAAATATACAACAATTTCAAATAGGAAATGCATTTTTTATTATTCATTTATTATTAAATTTAAAAATCTTCAGGTGCTCATCAAGTTGTCAATTGGTCCATATCATCAATAAGTAAACCGTTCAGCCTGAAAGTCTAGAAATGTTTGAGCCATAGGAAAAACTAAAAGTTTGATCTAAAATTCTGACAAAAAGTAAACTGTGGTGAAATACTTAAGATGTTCAACTTTCCATAGGAAGATGAACACATAACTTTAATTATCTATCTGTTTTACCAAATCAATCCAAGAAAAAACCTTGAGGTTGAAGTTGTACAAACAAGAAATATCAGGATCATCCAGGATCCTGGTTAACAATCACTTTCAGTCTCTGAACCCCTGGAACATGTCATGACAGAATCGAATGCACAAGCATACTAATTTGATTGGTCTTGAGCAGGTTCTAGGGGAAAAAACCGACCAATCACAGAATGATGTGCTCCTTTGAAGGATGTATCAGGATATCATTAACAATGTATTTGACTTCAGAGTAAAAATAAATCTACCACACAATTCTAGTGTGTACTGCATCCTAAAATGGACATCAAAATGTAACTTCTACACCCACTTCCACCATAAAGTTTTTTGGGTCTATGCAAACTAACCATACCTGACTTAATGGTCAAACTGATAGTTGTTGGATTTGATGAGACTTACTTCCTGTCTGCATTATTTTGATCTACCAAAGGAAAGCATTGTCAGTTTTCATTTCCAACTGACTGTATTTTTTGGCACATCCATTCCAATTTGATATTACACTGTATGAAACACACTTTATCTATTCTAACTGTTACAACAGATTATATTCATTTCCTGCTGTATTCTATGAATCCTGTTTTTGCTGTACTACAGGCATTCTTCATAAAAAGCTCGAGCTCAGGCCTCAAATTTAAGGCTTTTTACTGGCTATTTGCAAGTAGAAATCCAAGAACTGCAAGTAGAAAAATAATGACTTGCTTTTTTCAGCAAGTGGATTCATCAGATACAAACTGCGAGTGCCTGTCTATTCCTAACATTTCACAGAATTAAATTGTTTTGATTTTCAAAGTGTAAATATTGGGACAAAGCAGTTCTTCTATAATGTCGATATATATTGGATGAAGCAAGGTCATACATTATAAATCACAAAACAAAACACATTATTTGAACATGGAGATTTGCGATAATAGCAAGTAAAAAGTATTTTTAGCAAGCACAAATTTAAGGCACTTGCTGTTTTGAGCCTGAAGCTTAGAGTGATTTTCTATTTAATATTGAGAGATATTGTGTACAGCTTTGGATATCAACATCACTTACTTACTTACAGACAAAAAAAGTCTATATAGCAGTTATTGACATGTATGTAATGTTATTGCCCTGCTGAAATGGTTTTCTCCATAAAATATTACAAGTTAGAAAACATGTTACACAGTACAGGTACCTGAATTTTTGTAGCACTGTAAAAAAAAATTAGATAAAATTCTGTATCACAATAAAAATGTATAGAGAAACATCACAAGACATAAATTCTGCATGCTGGGTATAGTTACAGAATATTTCAATTGTTTTAGACAAAGCTTCACTGTTAATAGACAAAGTATTGACTAGTTCCAACATCATTCTTCTTAATACATTCACAAAACAAAGGTCAAATAAAATCTAAAACAAATCAGATCAAAATTCTGATCTTATGATTCTGTCAGTATCAAGGATGAATGTGTAGACAACCAGCCCTCAGCTCTGTTTAAGTCCAGTACCACAAGTACTGATGTTATACTACTATTAGTTAGACGTTAGACATCAGTTGTGTTCTAATTATGTACCACAAGTTGCCGCATGTCTCTCCACAACACACTGTCGGAAAAACTCATTACAGAGTGGACACTCAACATACTGTTCAGAGAACTCGGACATGCTAGGACCTCTGCCTGACGGAATGTACTCATCTGAATATAACCCACTCAAAGGACTAATTCTTTCACTGCTATCGCCTAGGATGTGACCACTGCCTGGAAAAGTTCCTTGGTAACTTGGTGAATTGCCTTGGAGAGAATCAGGGCCCCTACATACAAGGGTGTGAGACACCAACTGGTGGCCTGGGAAAGAATCTGTAACATAATTAGTTTAAGGTGTAATTCTGTTCTAACTAAAGACAAGCCCTGTGTATCCAGCCACCATTCTTTCCCTGATATAACATTTCCATTCCTCAAATCCTACAAACACTTCTGCCTACAGACATATCTCTTTTGTTTGCCTAATTAATTGACCACCTGTCTTACAAGTGAAGCTGTTTAGTGAAAAAGTGATCTGGATTATCTACTGGAAACAAAGTAGGTTAGAAGTAAGCCTACGATAAATTATAATGAATTATAATCTTGTTCCATTACAGTGCCTGTATTATCATGATTGACATGTAAAATAGTGTGGATTATATGTATGTTCCACATAAATCACACTTAAAATTGATACTTTGACTCTTTCTATCCGTATACACAGTGAAATTCATAATGAACTTCTCAACATAGAGAATATTCAGTACCATATCATAAAAATTCTATATATATAACTTACCACTACACAATGGACATCGCTCAAAAGATGTAGGAGTTACTTCCCTTGAGGTTACACTGCCACTTTTACCTTTTCCTGGTCCTCGGCTAACAAGAAAGAATATACACTGTACATTTAGGTTTGAGTCAGATTAGTGTCAAGCTTTATTTCTGATACCACAAATTTACAGAGAAATAGACCTGTTAGTCATAAAGATAAATATTAAATTCGGGTTGTAATCCTCATTAATTATGGATTGTATTAAAATATCTCCAGCTTAACTCCTGAATCAACATGATAAGAAAAAGCCTAATATCATATTCGAAACAATGTCCACTTACCCAGTCTTGTGACCTTTCACTGGAGTGATACCATTTTTTTCTGTGCGGGCAATCTTAGCCTTCGGCCCTGCATCACCCAGACTCCTCTTCTTACTCTGGGCCCCTGGGCTGGAAGTCTGTACAGGTGACTTTGCTGATAGCCAAGTGTTATTTGTTGATGGTGAAGATACATTATAACTGTTCTGTTTGTTAAGACTTTTAGGAGATAGATGAGTAAAACTTCGTCCATAACTGGAGGCTAATTTCACTTTCAACTGTTCTCCTTCAGAGTTTTCTCTCTCAGAACTGCTATCTCTACTCATTCTTATAGACCTTGGTGAGCTAAATCCAGTTTTCTTGAATTCAGATGCTGCCTTTTTCACTTCGCTTTTTCTCTGTTCTGATATACACAAGTTCTTTCCTGGTTTAAAGGAAGTTTGTTTACAAGGACTCTTTTCTAAACTTTTTCTATCTGTACAATCTCTCTTGTCTTTAGGTGATTTTTCTGACAGATTTCTTTTTGTATCTGCCAAAATGTTTCTTTTGGCATGAACCGAAGTCTTGTCACAATTCAGTTCCGACATAGATTGTCTCTTATTTGATGCTTTTTCCGGGGTTGGAGTGTTCTTGGTTGTATCGCCCTCAGCAAACATCATACAAATGTACTCTCTTGCCAACTCTATAAAGGTTTTTTTCTCTTCTGGTGTCAGTTTACTTCTCTTAGTTTTCTCAAATTTGTGTCGTATATCTGCAATATAAATTTATCCCTTTGTTATACATAGTACATGTACAAAATGTTTATATATGTACATTCTAGACATAGAACAGACATCAGAGTAAGACTTGATGTTCTTTCAAACCAATAATAGCAACAGGTATCTCCACTATACTACAAACCGATCATGATAACACCATCATTCTATGTATTTTTTTATGTAGCAACCCTCTAGAAGTGCTCTTCCAGTTTATCAGACCCCAGGACTTTTAGTTTTGATGAGGGGTATCACAAATGGAACTTAACAGATCATTGGCTTACTATAAATCAACAGACATGAAAGCAAACCATGCAGAGATGTTATTTGTTTTGGAGTCCTTGGGTCAAGTAAATGTTTAACTGGAACAGTCCTTAATCATATAGAATATTTATGTACAGTGAAATGAAGATAAATGTCTGCTTCACAAAAGTAAATACACTACAAATTTGCTGTGATGTTGAAATTATGAAATATTATTAGCCACAAACAGATTAAAGGGTGTATATGTCCTGGTGACAGACTATTGTTTAATACCCATAGTTACAAAGCCCAAATAATAGCCACCTGTTCCCTCAGGGTCAGCAGCAAACCATTAATCATACAAAGGATGACTCTCAGGAGTTAAAACATCAATTATCTTTAAATGTATTGAATATGGGCATTACTCCCATATCAATAAAATCTGGGTTCAGAACCTCTTACCCAAATCTTTATAAAACAGGATGCTGATGATACAAATACAGTAAACTAAAGTTGTATGTGGTAAAAAAGAACAGAGTGAATGAAGAAAATATACTTTCAATAGCATGGATGTATACCTGTCGAGTGAAAAAGAGACTTCTGAAATAAGTGTGAAAACTTTTCATTTTACTGAGCCTTTCGTGAGGTAATATGATAAATTTCAGATGAGATTAAAAACACTCATATGGAAAATAAAGTAAGTTTCTTTTTATCACAAAACTTTAAGATACTTTTGCAAACATTTTATTAAAACAATACAAAATCTATGATGGCGATATTCTCCATATCTATTCCTTTTGTGATGTCGCAATGCAAATGATGCCTTAAAGTTACGGCATCACAGTAGAAACATTGGCTTCATCCAATATGGCATCACAGTAGAAACAATAGCTTCATCCAATATCTGTTTATTAAACTGATAACAGAGTAGTTATATAAGGAGTTATTCCTCTAGTTAATATGCAGGAAAAAAAAAAAAAAGAGATATTTTTTTTTTATATTATTGTCTTCCATATTAAAAGATACAACAGGCCACTGTATATTCAGACACAGGGAGCATCAGCACTGATTTTGTATCTCATTCAAACATGAACAGGTAGACATTTACCAGTCCCCATCAATCTGATTTTTTTAACCAACAAGGTGAGTGTCATGTTACTCACCTGCTATAGTAATTTTGTCAAGGTCACTAGGGTTGATTTCATATGAAGACAAAAAATCTTCTACCACTTCTTCAAACTGTAAATGTAAGAAATATACAAGGAAATGTTTAATACTTATAGCAATCCAAATTTGACACAAGGCTTTCATTTTCAAGTTGTGTAACAATTTTTTGCCAGATTCCCCAAATCTGAAAAGGGAGATTAGGAATGTTTTCTTTCTCTATGTTGTGGAGGTCTACAGACAAGGCTTTTGTGCAGCTACTTGTGTATCTTTGTGGTTATTTCCTTTCCTTAACCCTTATCTGGGATCAATCACTTAAGACTATAAAAATTTGTTTGATTTGCACATCCTGGTACTCCTTCTGGTACTTTATGGAGCTGAAATTATGCACTTCTGTTAAAGTTCACACTGTCACCAATGTCTGCAAATGGGTTTCCCCTTAAAAGAATTACAGACTTTAATGACATGACCTACTGACCTTTTAACGATATTAACCTACCTTTGGCCCGTATTTAGTTACTAAACTGCTCGAGTAAAGGGTCGGTCGGTTGGAAGGTGACACACTCTGTGCAGTGGGACACATGCTTTTCATTGCTGTGTCTTTCGCCGCAATCACCAGTTTGGCAGTGCGTGAGAGTGACTCTGTTTTCTCGGTTCCATCCTCCGATGACCCAGCAATCTTCAACAGTCTGGATACCAACTGGTCCTGGTTACCACTGACAACCACAAACAAGTTTCTGTTTAGCTACATGGTGTACACAGGACTCTTTAAAAGTATGAGTTATTTACCAAACATATCCCCATTATACCAAATATTACAGGATTCTGACTTTTACACTGTCTTTGGTGCTTATCTTTCTGACGTCCTCAGTCATGCTGTTTTATTATAAAGTTATCTTGCACCAAGAAAGCTATATAGTCAAACTAAGTTAAACCTGTTTTGAAGTGCAGAACCTTTTTTTATAATATAATAATATAATATAAGCTTTATTTGTTTTACAACAATTGCGAAACAATACTGAACATTTTCATCAGGTTGGAAAGTAAGGATTATGTAAAGATTCCTTATACACAACCAGGAATTTTAATATGTGACGTTTCGGTGACCAGTACGATCCGTACGCTGTCACCTTCCTCAGACAAATGACCAGTAAAGCATGTACACAAAGGTGTGATATGTGTACGAGTTGTCGTGGAATAGCGTCGATTTCGGACATGCTGACAAGTGCCGAAATGACTGTTAGCGAATAGTAAAACCATTCGGCTACGCTTATTTTATTACTTGGTCATAGATGTGCGAGAAGAAGCTATGTCCACCATCATGATCCAAGAGGATGAACAATTTATTTCACATGATGTTGTTTCTCTGTTTACCAATACTCCCATTGATGATGCACTGAAAATCATTCAAAAACGCTTAGAGTCAGACAGATCCTGGCGAAAAACACAAACCTCCAGATCAAGGACATCATGGATCTGCTAGAATTTGTACTAACCACAACATATTTCACATTCCAAGGCAACATCTACCAGCAACGCTTTGGAACTGCTATGGGGAGTCCAGTGTCGCCTATTGTCGCCAATCTGTTCATGGAACATCTAGAACAACAAGCAATAGCCACTGCCCCCATAGATTGCAAGCCAAGCCTATGGAAACGATATGTCGATGACATTTTAGAAATAATCAAGAAGGGATCACAGAAAGATCTAACTAACCACATAAACACTACTGACACCACTAACAACATCAAGTTTACATGTGAGGAAGAAACCAATTGCGGAATGCCCTTCCTAGACACACTTATAGCCAGAAGAGAAGACGGAACAGTGAAGTTATTGGTCTACAGGAAAAAGACCCACACAGACCAATACCTCAACTTTAAATCCCACCACCCTTTACATCAGAAGTTAGGGGTCGTACGCACGTTGCTCAATCGATGTGAGACCATAGTCACAGAACAACAGGACAAAATTCAAGAGCAGAGCCACATCATGAAAGCAATGAAAAATTGTGAATATCCGAAATGGGCCCTTAAACGGGTACAAAAACAGTGTCAAAATAAAGGAAAAAACAGAAAAAGACCTATGAAAGATCAAAACAAAACAAAAATCCAGGTGGTCATCCCATATATAAAGGGTATATCTGAAACCATCCAAAGGATATACCGCAACCATGGCATAGCAACAGCCATGAAGCCCCACAAGACGCTTCGAAATATCCTAGTCCACCTTAAGGATAAGATAACCAAAGAGAATGTCGCAGAATGCATATACAAGATCGGGTGCAAAAACTGTGACGCGTCATATATTGGAGAGACTGGAAGGCGATTCGGGGTTCGCCTTGGGGAGCACCGGAAAGACACCGAAAGCCAAAAGGAAAAGAAGTTTACCCGATCGGAGACGAAGCAGTCGGAGTCCCAGATAAACAAATCGGCAATCACTGACCATGCCATGCAGGAAAACCATGTGATTGACTGGGAAAACTCAAAGGTGCTCGATAGGGAGAACCATCTTCTGAAGCGACAGATCAAAGAAGCCATCTGGATACGCCGCAGCGGGGCAGTTCTGAACCGAGATGAGGGGGCTCATAGACTCTCGCACATCTATGACCAAGTAATAAAATAAGCGTAGCCGAATGGTTTTACTATTCGCTAACAGTCATTTCGGCACTTGTCAGCATGTCCGAAATCGACGCTATTCCACGACAACTCGTACACATATCACACCTTTGTGTACATGCTTTACTGGTCATTTGTCTGAGGAAGGTGACAGCATACGGATCGTACTGGTCACCGAAACGTCACATATTAAAATTCCTGGTTGTGTATAAAGAATCTTTACATAATTGCAAAACAAGTTATGTCAACTTATGCTAATCACTCTTGTTGGCCCGGATGTAAGCGCGCGAAAGGTCTTATTGTGGGAGGAAACCAGAGTACCCAGGGAAAACCCACGTGGTCGGGCAGGTGACCCCTTACCTTTTCACGTCCGTTCCGGGAATCGAACCACAGTCGGCTAGGTGAAAGGCGAGTGCATTACCACTGCGCCACCCGACCACCCTTTTTATCTCTCCCATTTTTTGTTTTTAATGGCATACAGAAAGATAACTTATTAGGTGATGAAACAAGACTACTCCACACTCCATACTGCCAATATGTAAAAATATAAAGATTATTTAAAGTTTTCTTATTTTTTTGAAAATCAATGGAACCTTTTATTATCAAACAGTACAAAAATCTCACAATACTAACTCAGTTGGCTTTTTGCCAAAAAAGTGTTTCTGTATAGATTTAGCTGTTCTTTGAGTAGCAGTCTCTTTGTCCTTCTCCTGTTTGCCCGGACCAGTTGTAACAGTTGAGTTGGTCTTGACCCTAATGAAGGAAACACCAAATTGGATGTCCTTCCTCCATGGTTGACGACAGATGACACGCATTCGGTCCCACATCTCTTTAGCTACCACTTCGTTGAAATGTTCTATTGAAATTTAGTAATGAAGTATTAATCTTTTGTACCAGGTGTAAATATCTCTAGGAATAGCAGCTGTAGTATATCTGGAATCATCTTCTGTGTAACTGTACATTAATAAATCCACAGGTTCCAACTTTCTCAGTTAACAAATTAATAAATTTAATCTAATATCAAAAGTTAGGCATGGCAACCTTCAGTTCTATAGCCAACAAGAGGCCCATAAGTCCTGTATCACCCACCTCCAGTTCTAGAACACATCATAATGACCAATAACACAATTTTTTGAGAAGGATAACTACTATACAATGACACTTGGTTACAATTAAGATCACCTTGACAATCCAATCATTTTGCATTCCATTTTCCTGTTAACCCTACAGTTATCTTGCAAACCATTTAATGTCTGTAATCTTTTTAGTTTCAAATCCATTAAGTACTTGGGTTAACTGACCTGAAGCTAAACCTGCATATTTACCTGTGCCAAACATCCTAGTCCTGACAGTGTTGTTGCTATCCCGACAGTCGCCTGGAGTCATGATACTGGCAGTGTGGAGTAGAGTTTGGTATTCTTGTCCTACCGGCCAGTCTGACCGACCAACTTGTATCTCTAACATAGCACACCAGATCAAACCTGTAATAATAACATTAGTATTGATCTCTCACTGTACTGGGGTGGGATAAAGTACCACAAACAGCTACAACAGATCCTAAGTACCACTAACAGCTACAAAGGATCCTAAGGACATTAGTATTGGTCTCCCATTGTACTGGGGTGGATAAAGTACCACTAACAGCTACAAGGGATCCTAAGGGCATCAGTATTGGTCTCCCATTGTACTGGGGTGGATAAAGTACCACTAACAGCTACAAGGGATCCTAAGGGAATCAGTATTGGTCTCCCATTGTACTGGGGTGGATAAAGTACCACTAACAGCTACAAGGGATCCTAAGGACATAAGTATTGGTCTCCCATTGTACTGGGGTGGATAAAGTACCACTAACAGCTACAAGGGATCCTAAGGGCATCAGTATTGGTCTCCCACTGTACTGGGGTGGATAAAGTACCACTAACAGCTACAAGGGATCCTAAGGACATAAGTATTGGTCTCCCATTGTACTGGGGTGGATAAAGTACCACTAACAGCTACAAGGGATTTTAAGTAATGTACCACTAACAGCTACAAAGGATCCTAAGGACATTAGTATTGATCCCCCACTGTGCTGGGGTGGATAAAATACCACTAACAGCTACAAGGGATCCTAAGGGCATCAGTATTGGTCTCCCACTGTACTGGGGTGGATAAAGTAACACTAACAGCTACAAAGGATTCTAAGGGCATCAGTATTGGTCTCCCACTGTACAGGGGTGGATAAATTACCAATAACAGCTACAAGGGATTCTAAGGACATCAGTATTGGTCTTCCAATACCTACATATGAAATCCATGCAGATCTTCACATAGAATAATGATACTGTATCAGGATAGATGATGGACAAACAATGGATGATCTGAACAGCCCACCATCTGATGATATGGTAGGCTATACACACAACAGACAACAATTTGTCATAGAATCTCATCAAGTGAAAATCACAAAATATTCATGTTTAATTAGTTATTGTAGTTGCATATAGGTGAGCAGGTGGAGACTTCTCAGGTGTCATTAGACAAAACTGAAAAAAAGGGTTCTTGATCTGCCAGATTTGGGGCCATTATTTGGCCGTATTCCCTATGCAAAATAGTATCTTTTTTCCCCAATTTAGACCCGAAGTTTTCCCAATTCTAAGGAAAACACCCATTATTTTTCCCAATTCTAAGGGCCACGGGCCCCAGTCCCAAAATGGGGTGTGAGAGCCCTGGAAAATGAAGCAAAACGATGCATAACTGATACCACACACAATTTTACACGACTAGCAGCGACAATTCATACAAGAAATTAATAAGGATTTATATAAAAAATATTGAAAAGTATTCTGAACAGATCATTTTCAATTTGCAGTAGTTTAACTGCAAAGTGTGTGATATGACCAATATTTTCTGTCAGGTTTATTACAAGGAGAATACAGTAAAATCTTTTCTTTGTTAAGTAATTGTGGTGTACATGTTGATGATTTGTAAATGTATCAAAATTCAGTAAACTAACAGCCTCAATTGTTGAAATAAACTCTGATAAAGAAATTTACTTTAAAAATAATAATTGCAAAAATTATCACATTATAAAAAAATTTAAGAGAAACTGCAAAAAACCTCTTAAGATATAAAAGATAAACATTTTTATAATCCCTATTTCTTAACAAAATACATGTATGGCATGACAAATTGTCAAAGGGACATAACTGTGTGACTTGAAGCGCCATCCTTATTGACCAATGGATGCAAAATTTTGCAATAGGATCAATGAAATTATATGCTGAGGATGATCATTGTTTTAAGACTACAACCAATCATCCATAAGACAAGTTTACAAGAAACATTTTTTACCAATGTCAATATATAATATTTTACAGCTTTGCTCTAGTTGGAAGACTGCCTCAATCTGACCAGTCTTGTCCTTTGGATTAGACAACCACTTCTTGAATCCTGTGTTGTTTGTGAGGTTTTGGACTGGATGGCTGTTGTCCTGAACAAAAATTGACAATAAAACTTTTCAGTTAACTCCAAGACAATTATTTTCCAACAACAATACTGATAATAGCACAGGCTAATTTAGAGCTAACAATAAAATATGTGACACTGTGTAAAGTGGTTTTCAGTGTCGTTCAACATACAGTACCTAAAACATCTTTGATTTAAATCATTCAATAGGATTTATCAACTCAGAACTGTCAAAAGAATGTATGCTGTAAGAATTATGCTAGCCTGAAAGATGACTCACAAGCATGTGAAATGTTACTGCTGAATAAGGATTATGCAAATGACAAGACTAAAAAAATCACTGTTTGGATATAAATTGATGTGAGCTGCTTAATATATATATACATGTAGAAAAAAATCCCTTGGTAAAATTTGCATAAATATCAATGGTCTTCATATGGGAATTGATGGTTTGATTTATTTTGAATGATGAATGATGGAGAAAAATCAATTGAAATATGCTGTGGTTGGTGCCAAGTTTAATGGTTATTTCATTACAAGTTTTGTGATGAGTCTGATTACCTGACCACGCCCCTACACAAAAAATACGATTGTATGATGTTGATACTTGGGCAGCAAAGTATAAGTCAAGTTTGTATAACTTTTGTGTGGATCTAATTTTGATATTGTAATTTCTTGGTAATGATTCAGACACAGATAGAAAAATTAAATTATGATGATAATATCGGCGTATTATTATTATTTTTTAAACAACAGCCTTATGTCGAACATTGCCTTATATTGGTTTTGGACTTATATCTCAAATCAATATTTGGATGCTAGCTCTTTAAACAAGATTTATGACGGGGTGTTGAAATTTAGGGTTTTTATAAAAAAATCTTGCCGGATTTAATGATCTATTGACAGTTCGTTATAGATACTGGAAAGCATCTGAGCAAATCACAAGGACACATTAAATTCTGGGGGTCTGGATCTGTGTGTAATCAACTCGTGTAAATAAACGATGTATAACTCAAAACACATTTATTCATATTCTCATTGCGATGTGCCCCTGTGAGTAAACCAAGACAAATATCCTCATTTCGACAAGTATCGTGATGGAGCGCAGCAACACCATGTTCACATATCGCCTGTTGGAACGATGGACGAAGAAGCTGTATGACATCTTCACCCCGCGTGATCAGAATAATTCAGATTAAACCGCAGAAACATTGCGGACACACCAGAACCAGCCTAACAGTACTGTGGTCATGACCGTAGACTCCATAGATAAGTACTGCACTATTATGTTTCCCATGTTCTTACCTGTGATGTAAAGGACACGACGTATTTCAGAGATATTGGAGCCATGATAGTTCATCATATTTCGCGCGGGATGTACCAAACGTAAACTTCCTGTTTATAAATTACCTCCCTTGAAAATTGTTTCGGTGTCCGTAAAATATTAGCATACGTAAACAATGCCCTGGTTAAAATTATTATGGTTGACCATGGACTTGAAGAGATCTTCATTCAACTCCATAGACTGAAATGTATATGTAAATCAATTCAAAAGGAAATGAATTAATTAGAAAATAAAAAGAACAAAACATTAATTATTACCTGTAATGGTTACAGTTTTATATACAGATGTTGTTTTACCAAGTAAAATGTAATTAATATTGGTAGTGTTTTACCTGGATCTCAATGATCTAAGTAAACAACAGACTCGCACAACAACACAATAGTATTGGAATTATCTCGTATCAATACAAAACCAAATTGGAAAAAAAAATATCACTTCCGATATAAGTGCGATTTATAATGAATAAACATACACATATATGAATGAAATAGAAAGTCCATATTAATTAAATAATTTCCAAGACCTGCATAAGTAGAGTCACGTATGTTGTCATACGATGTAAAGTACACGATAATGTCCCGTGATTGTTCTGTGTTATTGTACGTATAGGAAACAAGACTCTACTGATGTTATTTTAGGTCAGAGTAAAAGAAAATCGCCAACGATGTATCCAACTGCATAATAGGTAGGTAGGTAGGTAGGTAGAAAGATTGATAGATAAATAAATAAAAATAAATGAATAAATAAACAATTTCACGGAAGACTCCAAGTGAAAAATATGTTTGATTATTATAGATGAATGTTTTTTATCGTTTCAATTCAGACATGTTACAGGGTTCTATCAAAATTATTATCATTGTTATTTTTATAATTTTTATATATTTTCACCATCTTTGGATTTTAGCAAGTAAAATCAAGTAAACATTTTTTAAAATGATGACCCCAGCCTATTATGGATTTAACAACCGACTATACAAACCAAATGAAACAAACTTTAGGGGAATATTAACTAACATAAACAAATGAAAAAACAAGATGATTATTATGTTAACACGGGTATAGTGTATGTCTAAAATAATTTCGCCCTCGTGAGTAGTTTCTGTTTGGTTGAATTGGTTTAATTATTCATCATTAATATCATGTAAGACAGAGTGTAGGCAAAACTTTGTAGAATACCAGACAACAGATATAACATATGTCGCTACGAACACATGATCTTGTTAGTCACTAGTCACACATCTTGGCATTACGAGAGATAACTGAGGAAAGTCTAAATTTTGCCATGCCGTGATTAGAATTCCTTTCTTCATATCTCACAGAAAACTCCAAAACTACATATTCCAATATATTAATCATCTATGTATTTTTGCCGTTAGCCCATCATAATTTGGTTTCTGAACATATACCGGATAAAGTTATTAAGTTGTAATTTAGTATGTAGTTATATAATGATAACATAATATGCAAGTCATCATATAATTGGTTTCGGTCAATGGTGACTGAACAACACTGATGAGCCTTGGCGAAATCCAGTGGAATTGAGAAAAACGCAAGCATGCATTTTTTTAGAACCTCTACCATTGATTCTGTGTAATTTTCTCGTCCTTTCCGATCATTTTACGGATACAGAATTGTAATTTGGTATGTAGTTATATATGCTGATATGATTTGTGAGTACTCTTTAACTATTGACGGCCTTGCTTAAATCCAGTGGAAATTGGGGGGGAAAACAAGCATTAGTTCTGTTTCGGACACCTACCATGGATTCTGCAGACAGAACTTCAATGTTACGTCATGGGTGTTCAGCTATATCCACATTTCCTTACCAGGGATCTTTTTTTATCTACAGAACTTAAATCAAATATCTAAATAACTCTGCTGAATTGTAGGCTGTATATCTCGAATTCAATAATATTATCATACATTCATTGACGCTGAGCTGTCAAACTTGATCAAAGCGATGAGTAAACATCTCGTAGTTTCAGAAGTTCACCTTTTAAGATTAACTCAAAACAAATATGTGTTATTGATATACCAGAAACATATATGTTTCTGTTTCTTAAATTTTATACCTAATGTTGTACGATAAAGATATGTCGGACAACTTTACATAGTAACGATTTTGACCTGGTACCGGTTTAACCGTATCCGCCAGGTGGCGCAAACATTAATTGACGATTTCACGGCAAAATGGCGCTTGATTTGAAGAAAGGTTTGAACTATATAGTAGACATTGCGTATGATGGTATATTTTGTATCCTGTTTAAGAGTGATTTGCTATTCGCATTTGATTCTTAAACTGGAATCATGAATACGAGCTTTTGTAGATGATTTGAATATTTCATTTGACTCAATGACAGGTGCTCTGTGTTGGTCTTATCTTAAT